AAATAGAGAACTATTATGGACATAATGGGGCAAACCTACTAATCCTCCTTATAAATGAAAAAGTTTGTATGTTTGTTACACTATCACGCAACAACCGTTTGAACCGGTCAACCGTTTATTGCATTTTGCCACTCATGGGATTTATTACCTGAATTAAGACAAAGAATACTTTCCATCCTGGAAAAATATTAGGTTTCTAATAGTACCTAAGGGAGCCCAAGCGGGGATTTTTGAATTTACTCGAGCGCGGCAGAATAACATATGGGGAGCAACCTTGCACCTAGTTAAGTACTCCCGCCATACCTGAGCCCTCTATGTAGGGCCGAACACCTAGGGCAGCAAAAACAAAATTTCAACAGACGGCCATAATATTTGGTCGGGTCGAAATCGTCAGTCTTTTGAATAGGAGCTACTGGAGGGTATTTTTTCCTATATTCTACCCCTTCGTACGGCCACCCCCATATCATGCAAACCGCGGCAGATCAATATTTTTTCCGTTCTTAGAAACGTTACGTTAGAGGGTTCTAGTAGCTTATATTCAAAAGACTGACGATTAGGGCGCTTAAAAGTCATGTCCGTTTGTTGAAATTTTGTTTTTGCTGCCCTAGACGTTCGGCCCTACATAGAGGGCTCAGGTATGGTGGGCGTACTTAACTATGTGCAAGGTTGCTCCCCATATGTTATTCTGCCGCGCTCGAGTATATCCAAAAATCCCCGCTTGGGCTCCCTTAGGTACTATTAGAAACCTAATATTTTTCCAGGATGGAAAGTATTCTTTGTCTTAATTCAGGTAATAAATCCCATGAGTGGCAAAATGCAATAAACGGTTGTAAATTTTTGTTACATCATATAATAAAAAATATTTTTGGAAATTCAGGTTTGTACCGAACCCTCGGTGCACGAGTCCGACTCGCACTTGACCGTTTTTTTATTTATTTCGTTCAAACCTCCTCGGATGCGCTTTTAGTCTATACCTATGTCTCACTTTAATAACGAAAAGAAAAAGAGACGATAGATGTAGTTCCAATTTTCGTCACCCGTACGTGGAATGCGCCCCATTTTCTTATGGCGCTATTTGGAAATGCGCCCCATTTTCTTATTAAAAAAAAATGGTTGCCTGTAAAGTCGGTTTTACGGGCGAAGATTTTACGTGACAACGTCTTTTTCTCGGTAGAATATTTATTGATATGAATATAATTAAATTGCACAATAGGAACAAGGAATTGAATGAAAATAAGAATTGCACAAATTTTAACTATAGAAATATATTTTGTTTACTAAAACATTGTACATGTAAACTTAAACTTAACACGAGAGACTCATCGTAACGTTACCGAGCGTTACACTTTTTCATAAGTGACTCCCAGGCCCTACATAGAGGGCTCAGGTATGGTGGGCGTACTTAACTATGTGCAAGGTTGCTCCCCATATGTTATTCTGCCGCGCTCGAGTATATCCAAAAATCCCCGCTTGGGCTCCCCTACTATAAGGGATTCTAAAAGAACTATAGTTAACGTAGATGAATTCGCGGGCGGCCGCTAGTGTTACTGTGATACCGATTTGGATTTTTGACATATATAAGTAAATAGTTTATACATACTATTTGTCCCCCAAAGTGTTAGGTTTCTGTGGGATTCTCAAAAAAATAACTTTTCAGCATTATAAACCTAAAACCAAAAGCGAGAGGTTAAAAGCAAAGCGACGTGAGAGGAAAGGATCGTGCCGTAAACACCTGGACCGGTTCGTTTTTATTACATATCTACAGGTTGCTGAAAAAATATGATTTTAATTTACTTTTGAAGTTATTTGCAGTGATACTTTTTTTTGAAGTTAGGATCTAAATCATTTAGCAAGCGGGGAATTAAGTATTGCATAGTTCATTACCCGTATACATTATTTGTAGCAATAAATATTATTAAGTTTTGTTTGATAGCTTGTCGTGTGTTAATTTTATGATTAAGACATTGTATTTTTAATAAATTATAGTGTAATTTATATTGGATGGGTAAAACATTGCAGTGCTTAAAAGTTTGTTATCATTGTTTCTATATAAGTAGTTCTTTTATTTTAGAAGATACAATTTCAATATTCTAGCTTGTAATGTTTATGTTGTTATGATAAGTTTTGAATGTTTTACCGTAACCAGTAATACCGTAATTTATGATCGAGTCAGCCAACGAAATGTAAAACTTAAGTAAGATAAGGAATTCTCTTCTTGATAATCACTATATTAGCCAAGAAAGCTCTAAGTTTATCACAAACTGTACTTATATGAGGCTGCCAATGAAAATTGCAGTCTACATTCAGCCCAAGATAAGTATGTTTATCTACTGTTTCAATACTAGGACATTAGCATTGCTGTATATTCACGTGAAAACAGCTGTGGTTATGAGCTTTTAACCTATTATTTGATTCACAGTACGTCTTTGTGAATGCTGATAGTATATGGACGACTTTCGCTTTACTAGCATTAATTACAAGCCTTTTGTCATGGTACCACATACAGCAGAACACCGATTAACCGAATCGACAATTATCCGAATCAGTCCTGAGCGTAATTAAAAAAATTAAAACCCAGTTATTTTTGTTTTGTTTTGTTATAACAAGTCGGAACTCACTGGAGTCCAGATATATTTCACCTGTTATGGTTGAAAGCTAGAGGCAAGACACTACATGTATTGCGTCGCGCGGTTTTTTTTTGCTACTATGTACTTCTATTATTGTATTTAGTATTGTAGAACTGTGTTTGATAAACTTATAAGGTTTATTCTCTGTGTGACAGTTCGTTTTTCTTTATTACCAGTCTATGTCCGATTATCCGAATCGAACCCGGCCCCAATTAATTCGGATAATCGGCGTTCTAGTGTATTTAATAAACAAAGTCCCGTTGCATTTTTTCAAGAGTTCTGTTCACATTATATCTGCTAATATAAGGCAATCATCTACATTATCTGCTAGGTACATGTAGTAACCACAATATATTTGAGCAGTAGTCGTTATTTTCTATATCGGAAATTAGAAAAACCAATTAATATCAATCTATGTATCTCAACTAAAATACCTAAATCAAAGTCAAACTGCGTCTCAAACTCAAAATCAATTCGATATTATAATTTCTATAAATACGAATGATAAACACCGTTATTTATTTGTTTCCTTCCAGGCGGGGGAGCGGGTGTGCAACTGTGCAATCCTCATGAATACTCCACAGCCGGCTGCCTTATATTTATATGCTTTATATAAGGTTATGTCAGACTCTTACTGACTAAAAGCTGCATCCGAAGCGATCATCCCCTGAGATGGGGATGATGCGGTATGCGGGCTTCTCAAAAAATTGGTTTAAAGTGCCAATAACAAGTTCAGTATTTCACATAGTCATAGGAACCCCTAAGTAATTTTAAAGGAACTATTTAACGATATCCCATAGGATGTGATAGATGATGAAAAAAAATCATCCCAGGTTACATGTAGGGGAGCTACCCCTAACAAAAATCTTTTTCAAAATATTATTCTACCATTTTGTCGGCATGATCAATATACATATCTCCACAAAATTACAGCTTTCTAGTGCTAATAGTCTTCAAGCAAAACTGGGGACGGACGGACGTACATGACGAAACTATAAGGGTTCCTTGTTAGGACTACGGAACCCTAAAGAGATCTACTTTTACTAAGTACTTATGAAAAACACATTTTTTTTTGTATGGCTTCGCACGGTTTGTGCATTTTAGCCAATTTCGTAATTATTATAAAGGTTAGGAAACGTAAGGAAAAGAAAAGGAGGGTTTTCGGGATTTTGAGTATTAGGACCAGCAGGCTATACATATATTAGTACAAGACTAAATAAAAAAAAATATATATAAAAAGAATCAATTATTAACATATTTACAAAATAACACAATAAAAATATACACAAATTATATTTATATTTTAATATTATTATGGATGATGAAATTGGTGAGGCAATTATATACAGATGGTTTATTAGTGGATCATAAGGTAGGCACAGAAGTAGGGAAAGGAATATGAAGGGACACAAGTACAAGACTAAATTAAAAATATATATATATATATATAAAAAAAGAATCAATTATTAACATATTTACAAAATAACACAATAAACATATACACAAATTATATTTATATTTTAATATTATTATGGATGATGAAATTGGTGAGGCAATTATATACAGATGGTTTATTAGTGGACAATAAAGTAGGCACAGAAGTAGGGAAAGGAATATGAAGGGACACAAGATCATTGAAAAAGAAGGAGCGGTCATATTTTAAACAAACAAAGAATATGTGGTTGAGATCACTAACCATACCCATGTCGCAGTCGCATATATTGTTGTTATAATGCCAATTCTAGTGAGATGATCAAGAGTGCAGACATGTCCAAGACGCATGCGAATTACAATCGAGATTTCTTTCTTACCATACTTGGATTTACGGAACCATGGTTTAATAGGAATGTGTGGTTGAATTGATGCAAAGAATTTACCTTTTTCTCGCGAACTTCGTTCCCAAATATTACACCAGGCACTATAAAGATAATCTTTAGGAAGAGATAAAAGGTCATTGCTATAGATTTTGTAAGGATGCATGTCCCCACAATACACTGCCTCATTCGCTAACTTATCAGATAGCTCATTTCCAGGAATGCCACAGTGACTTGGAATCCACATGAAGAAAAACAATATTTTGCAAAGACTTCATGGATATTTTTTTCATAAACAAAAAACGTACGTATCTTTAGGCAGGTAATTATGTTTTCTTAGTAAGGATGTGTAGATAGTTAAATTTTGAGCTTTCAAAAATGTCATTCAACCTATCATCAATCTGAAACATTTCCTACCTAGCTATAACACAAAAAAGTAAGATTCGCAAGAGTGCATGCGAGAAAAAAGGTTTAAACGAAAAATCTCTAGCACCCTGTCTCAACAAACCGTTAAGCCCAAGTAAACATGATAAACATCAGCACCATTACGTAACTAGATCTACGGATCTACTGGCATAGCACTCACTAAACACTGACACTTCACGTACGGTCTCAGGACCCAGGGGACGTCGTGTAATTCCTGCAGACTGACCAGTAACAGCCAGATGTACCTGCTGTATATTGAGGAGGAGGAGCGGAGCGGGCGAGAAGCGTCGCCCTTACAGCAGTTGCTGCCCATTGTGAGAGCGCATGCCTGTCGGAGGGCGCGGGAGTCGAGCGCGGACTGCGCGCGCGACCGTAGCTGTAATCCCGCGCCAGATACTTGTTTACGCAGCGCACCACCCGGGAGGGTCGCCCGTTTTCGTCGCGCGTACAGCACTCAGTTACTCTCCGATTTACACCGTTCGCGATGACGTATATTGCCGAACTACCATTCGCTATTTTCGGATCGTTAAAAACTAAGAAGACACGTCATTCACCTATGTAAAATCTGCTGTGCGTAAAATTTTTGCATTTCTCAAGCTTATTTGATAACGTTGTTTGAATTTTTGACGTTTATTTTACAAAGATGTCAATACACCAATCAGGTACTATTTATAATCAACATACGTAACCCCTCGTTTACACCAAGGTAATACATGTATTTAATAAATTTTATACAATGTCTTAAGTTTTTGTTCATACTTATATACATGTATAAAACATGTAGTATACAATACTTGTATCAAACTTGTTGGAGAAACAAAATATGTGAAGTAAATGAGTGATTAATACTTGTCAAGATACTAGTTGTCTATGCAGTGTAAACGAAAAAATGTTTTAAACAACCACAACAAGTATTCTATATGTTTGTATAAAACTAGTTTATGACTTGTTTCTTGATGTAAACGAGGGGTAATAGGTACAAAACGACAATCTGAAAAACGATACGTTATCTAATGTTGTTAATAGATGGCGTTTAGATAACAGTTTCATAGATAAATCATAGGTGTCGCCCCGGCAGGCAATACCGCAGAGCGCAGATAGATGGCGCTGTACACTGCCGCATGGCAATGAGAAAAGATTCATCGTGATAACCTCATATTTATTTTTGGTAAGTAAAAGGTAAACTCAGCTGGCATTCTATATTAACTTTTTTAATAGAAGTTATGAAAAAATAACGGTTACGACACAATAAGAATTAACAGGTTCTGCTTCCCCTATTTCCTAATGCTGTTTTGTTTACGATGTCAAATTATGTAGTTCGTATACTATAAACATTAGTTGTGGGTAGTATCTATCTCATATTTATATTAAATGACCAGAATTTATGCAATGTTTTGGATAACCATTACGTGCTCTTTAAGTAACGAAATGTGCTCTGTTTTGATAAAATATAATCACAAAAGCTTTATAAAAAACGAAGCTGTGAAAATGTAAAGAAAAAAAAGAGTGTGTTTATGAGACCACACGACTGAAGTGAAACTTCTTTAGCTCCATCTGTATGTATATTTAAATAAATAAATAGCAAGAGAAAGCAGAAATATATATAATATATTTACTTTTGTAACCCGTAACGCATTCGCTAGCTTACCCCCCAAGTCAAGCGTGCGTAAAGAAGTTTCACTTCAAAAAGAAAAATAATTTATTTCTTTATAAACAAACCACAACACCAATAATACCAATAAGTATCATCGTTATTACAAGTTCTTGGAAAGTCTCTAATCTAATTTGTATTAAGAATCTACTTTCGTTTATTATCAGTATAAGATTCTAGTATCAGTATTGATTTATAGATAAAACTACAGATGTATTAACTATGATTACATTAAACAAATAAGATGAATACTTATTTAATTTCAGTAGCCTTAACTTTTATTTCTTTTAAGTTTTTTATTAATACACATACTTAAAGCTAATCACCATCCTTACGTATTTTTACACCTAGCTAATCTAGACCAAAAGCGAGGGATCGTTTATTTTTAAAACTTTTCCGCATTGTTTTAATCATGGCAATAATAACTCGTTAATAGATTTTTCGATCTCCTGAAACCATAATTCGACCAGGATTTTACTCAAATGCCGTGTCATATGTCCGGAGAAGTCCAGCTTCCTTGTTCTGTATTTAAATTTCGACATGTGAAAAACAAACAACGCTTGCCGGCGAGACGCGCCGCGCGCGTAGCATTCCAAACCCTATCTTGAACGGTACAAGTGTCGTTGTCGCCCGGCGCGGCGGCGCGAGGATTGCACCTAGTTTTATAACGTGTATTTATGCTTGGGCAGGCAAAAAGAAATGATGAAAAAGCACGTGATTGTTTATAGTGAATTTGGGAACGGATTCGGAAATAGCACGTACCATTCGTAGTGGAATGGAGGCGTCCCCTGGGGCGCAGGGAGCTGGAGGCACGCGTCGCTCCCGGGAGCGGCCCTCACGGTGTTCAGGCCGCGGCTGGGGAACGTCGGGGGCTCCATGTGGGACTCCGGTCCACTCGCTGCGCGGGCGCTGCGCCGTGTGCGAACCGCCGACGCCGACCCGCCGGGCGGCGTTTCTATAAATATACGGAAAAATGTAACGCGCGCTCCTCCAAGCCACAGGGCGAATGCGCCGCAAATATTTCGCCCATTTCACTGGCTAACAGCTGATTTTCAACGGCCGCGTACATAGCTGGCGCATGACGAGCGACGAAAGTGCGCTTGAGCAATAACGACGTGCAGCGACCGCCTACCGGCTGGAACGGATTGCACCGACTACACGACACGAGCTTCCATTTCAGCTATACGGAAGTGTGCGACTGAACCGTCTTCTGACTGTCACGAAACCAGACACGACTCTGTACTCCGACTCACATGACAGTAAAAGCTCCATTATTATCACGTACCTACAGAAGTGTTCATTATTTGTACAATAGTTATACTTTGAACAAAACACAAACTTTACTCAATTAAGAACTCTATACGCCATATGAATCGCGTTGTGCTGTAATCACGGATTCTGACAAGCAAGAAAGCGAAACGAAAAAATTTTAAAATCGTCAAATATTTTTTCTACCTCCCATCTTTTAGCTGAGAAGGAAAATGGGCACAGGAAACTTATCCACAGAAGGAGATACAATAATTCAAATTCTATGTAGATCCTGTATCCGCATTTTGATTGCTGTGTCATACAGTATAAATAAAAAATAGTACATTTGGATAGTAAAATAGTATAGAACGGACACATCGTCGCGGTCAGCACCCGTTCACGAGCATGATGCACGAACCAGCCATCGCTTCGCTCTACAATATTTTAGGGGAAGTAACGACCCGCCTCACACAACACTACCAATTTTATAATTTTAAGCTTTTCTGTTCTTATCCTTTTATCTATGATATTATCGAGGTGTTAACCGCTAGCACCGTGATAATACTGAAGAAAAGTAAATAATTGCTTGCAGGGTGTTTGGCATTAAAGTCCTCGAGAACGATCGTCCGACTTTGAGAGAGACGTCTGACGCCTGTAGTGAGACCGTCCAACCAGTCCTAGTACAGGTCGACTGACCTTTTGGGGGGAGAAATATACGCGTACAAAGGCCAACTCTCCCCAGGTATGCGCGACAAATCCCCGTCCTCTCTCCCTGACTTGTAGAGGGGGGAATATGATGTGGTGAGAGGGGCGGTGATTGCAAAGCTCCCGTTCAAGTCTGAGGCCCAATTTGGGTTAAGCGAAACTGAGAACGGCTCCGCAACGACCACGATGCCTGCATTCCAGTGCGTCGCTGTCAGGATCATTAGGTCCTGAGACGCAGCGCAAGTGGTTGGGATTTCCCTATAAAATGTTGTAGGGCCTGCTAGACATCACAAACCACGGGAGTCATCTCTGGTGCGTTAGTGCTGGTAAAGGGGGGTGCGGACTGGGTCCTTTTTTGTGTGTATGCTGTTGGTCGCTGATGACCTTTACAGCGTCACCGGGCTTGGGGATGGCGAGATCCTCCTTAGGGTCCTCAAGTCGATAATTTGCGAGTGCCTCTAGAGGTATTCAAGGCGGACGGCATCTCCCCACGGGGGGAGTCTCCTCTCCGTCTGGAGCCTCTAGACCACTCGAACCAGAGGAGGGCGGCTCAAATGGTGGGCTTGTCTGAGACTCAGACCTCGGTTCTATTTAGCCGTTTTCGTGGGGGAGCCTCGGTCCTGTTGGCCGTTTTCGGCTTAGTGGGAGGAGGAGCACAGCTTCTCCCACCCATAATGTGCCCGGCGGACAGTCCGGCAGCTGTGCAGATATGGCAATTGGGATTGGCGGTGTAGCCTGCAGCTTTGTGCCCGTCCAGACCGCAATTGAAGTAGAGAGCACTGCGGTCTGTGTCGGATGGGAAAAGTTGCCTGATGTAACCCAGCTCCATGCACCTAAAGCATCCCATGAGGAGGGTCTCCAGCTATTGCAATCGGACATTTGATCACAACCGAGCCGATTCCACCAGGACTTCTCCTGATCTGAGCTACTTTTATTTCCTCGACAGAGCAACACCCGGCAACTGCATTGACCACATGGGAGCCCTCTATGGAATCATCCAGCCCACTGATGTGTACGTCGACGCGTTTGGTGGGAGCTAACCAACTACCTATCCCAACCAACCATACACACATTCCAAACAACTAACCATCCAATAACTCGTTTCGCCGAATCCCACCCATCTAATAACTGACCGCATTTCAATAAACTCAATTCAAACGAATGCATTCTCATATTAATATTAAAAGTTCGATTTTCGGTTCTCAACGGATCAACAACTGTAGTAAGCGTAACGGCAACGTTGCATTGACCTCCATCGGCCAATCACAGAGAAAGTAATAAAGTGCTTCATCCTCATTGGTCTTGTTGAAATGGACCAACATTTATCGGATCAAATTTGTATATTGGAGCCACATTTGACAAGAGTAATTTGCAGCTAAGTTTGGCAAAGATTTCTATTCGTAGACTTTCAGTTTAACAAAATTATTCATTTTTTATCCAAATAGCTTACTTACTTAGCTAACCGATTCATTCGAAAAACTTGCCCGAAAACTCAATAGATGGCGGCAATGGTTCGATTTGATTGAAAAGGGTCAAGCGTATAAGGGTGGGCACGGTGTGTGCGTATAAGATTGCGCGCGCATTCTTATACTACGTTTATTTACTGAAGTGTTGTGGGTAAAATAAAACGTCATATATTATGCCTATTTTATATTTTGTGTATTTACAGCATGTCTCGGAGAAAGAGAACTTCTTCGCGACAAACTATTCATCGGAGGTCTTGATGAAGCCCGAAAACTAATTGAAAAAGGTCAGTCGAAGAGTTCTGTAGCAGAATTTTTTGGACTGGCGGTCTACTTTAAGGAAGCGCTTGAAAAATTTTATCCCTGCCACTAAATTGGGGCGTTATGAAACTACATTTTCTCAAGAAGTTGAAAAAGAGTTCAGGCATCCTTTAAATACTCTTGATAACATGTAGGTACTTTGGATTAACAGCAAAGGGATTGCGTGGGCTAGCTTTTCAGTATGCTCAAGTATATAATATTAAACAGGTTTAATGCAGAATCTAAATTAGCTGGAAAAGAATGGTTGAGGTTTTTTTTGAAGAGACACCCTGATATATCATTGAGGCAACCAACTGCTAAGCGTTGCGCACTCTTATACACCTGGGTGTATAAGAGTGCGCAATTTTGATTTTTTATACTTCTACAGTTCCTACCTTAACTAATAACATAGGCGTGATTTGTTCTTCTATAATTTGTTGAATAAATAGAGTCTATAAATAAATAATGTTGTTTTTTCTAAATGTGGTATTTTATTTTTTATGGGGTCTCAAAATTAAAGTGCGCACTCTTACACCACCTTACCCTACTGCTATCACAGCTTGTTAAGAGTTCTCTCATAACCTGCGCATATATATTAATAAAATTGACTTACTTAAAACTATTAGTACATTAGCACGAGCACAATTGTACAACAGATTACCTACCCACACAGATAAAGTGTGAACTCGTTTAACGTATTCAAGATAAAACTAGCTCAATATTTTTACAACAAATGGTAAATAAAAGCGTTAAAGTCTTTTGGTAATAAGGGTTTTTTTTTAATAAAGGACATTGGGCAAAATTGTATGGACGCTGCACCCACGTCCGCCACGGCTTAAACTACACTTGTTTGAATGGTATTATAGTCATGATCATCTGTGCCAAAGCGCATCAAATTCCATCCCGGGGGTCTTTAGTTATTTTAAGTTAAATAGGTACAAGTACTATAACGAACGAACATTAATGAAACAAGGGAATTAATTTAGTTAGTTCGACCCTACATAGAGGGCTCAGGTAATATGGGAGTAAGTACTTCACAAGGTGAAAGGGTGCCCCCTTATGTTATTCTGCCGCGCTAAAGTAAATCCAAAAATCCCCGCCGCACCGCATGGGTTGGGGTTTTTTCAAACAGTCTGTTCGTTATAGTAAATTATCTTCTATGTAAAACGGAGCGACCACGAATCACACAAACTCGTCCACGCTTCGGAGAAAACATTATGCCACTTTATCCATACTAATTGACAAAACCGATAATCGTGTTCAATGTCCAAAGCGTGTTAGATATAAAACAATCAAGTGATATGATAGAAGCGCACAATCACAAAGAAGTAAAACGAGTCGACTATTTGCAACTGCAAGTCCTTCAACCCCCGTAAACCGTTTGTGGTGGCTCAGTAAGTGCAAGCGCAGGATGGTCGGCAGGCTTTGTCGTATATCTGGTTGTATATATGGCTGTTGTCGTAAAGCATATTATTATGGTTACTAAATTAATTTTATTGTTCCCTCATTTGTGTCATATCTTTTGACTACCAGGATATTTTTTGCAGTATCGTATATCTTGACTACCGGGATATTTTTTTACGGTGTCATAATAAAAAAGGCTAGTTTTTAATAGATCTATCGATTCATACTAATTACATTGTTGGCGAAGCTGGGTGTGTTTTGCCCATTGTCCTTTCTTTAAAGCTAAAAGCTAAAGCCTATTGTCATTTAAATTAAATCATTATGAATTTTACCATAATATTATCACCTGGCAGGGCTGTATTTAACCTACCAAAGTTGTACCCAAGAGCCAAAAGAACCATGACCCAGGCCAGCAGGCTGCGAGGAGCGGCAGAAGCAAAAAGGCAGCCTGATTTTAAAATACGCCCCTGCTACTTAGTATGGCTTCTCTGTATCTGCTGCATTATCATTAATGTTATTAATGCTTTGAAGAATGACAAGGGAGAGGGTGCAGATGTTTTGGCCTGAAAACCTATTTGCTTAATTAACTTCTAAGACGGCAGACCTCCTATCGGACGCGCAAACCACACTGTCGAAGTCCTCCTATAAAGATAAACACCTAAGTTTAAGTTTATGAAGAATCGGCATAGGTATTCTGTAAGATGCAATCTCATTTATTCGGATTTTTGACAAAATTCCAATGTCTAATACTGGCTGATTCTACAGACATAGAGACATTTTGCCGTGTAATAGCGTAATGCATATCGAACAAAGTAATGCCTAAAATGGCAGCTACCGAAATTGGAGTGAGATTTTATTTGACAGAATCGCCCTACAGGGCCGAATTAAGGCAGGGCAGGCGAAGCCCGATTTTAAAATGCGCCCCCCTTAGGTGCCTCCATTCCTTCTTTGTAGGATCAGTATTCTGTGAATCTACCGAACTGATTTCGGACATTCTTTTACCAATAAAAAGCCACGTTATTTGCGAGTGTCATAGGGTATTAGAACACATTGTATATATTAGAACAAGAACTGTAGTCTACACTGAAGCGAACGAGGGTGGGCCACAAGTATTGGCGCGATTACTTTTGGTCGTAAGCCCGAATACGAGTGAGTATTCGGGTGAACGAAAGACATTACTCGAATTCGGGCAACCCAAGCAATATTTACACTGGAATACGGGCCGTGCGGTTAGGAGAAGTTCACCGATTCACAGCGGTTATGAGCACAGTGTGGGTAGGCAATCTGCTTCTTAGTCTATTGACGTGTTAGGCATTTTTGCAGCAGTGGCATTTCAGGCACACTTTTGTGAAGTGGTTATAATAGTACAGTCAATCTGTCGAAAAAAATATCGTTTCAGTGAAAAAAAAACCTAAAGGATAAGTCTTGTTTTTTCTGTTGCCAAATGACGTCAGTAAGCCACCTTGGCGATGGGCATATTCAACTCGTAGGCGTTTTTTGAAAAACTCAAAAAAACCGTCAAAAATTTTTTGAAACGCATTTTTCTTGTTTTGTATGCAGTTTAGAAACTTTTTTTTCGACCATAATTGTAGAGGGCGTTGAGTGCTACAATTTATGTCATTGTTGTAATCTCGTACAACAAAAAATGCGCATTGTAGGTGGCGCTAAAGTCTCAAAAAAGTGTTTTTTCACTTTTTCACCCTGAAAATATCATTTTAATGGAAAACTTTAAATGGCGAAGTTGTTTCGTACATAATTACCAACAACTTTTGTATAAACAAATTTTTTGTATTACTTACCGTTTTCAAGTTATAAATTGCGCAGGTATGAAAAATCCAATAGAGCGGTTTTGGGCAGTTCAAGTACACATTTGCAGTGCACATTTCAATGTACGTTTTTACTATTTTTTTTTTCACTCATGAAAAAAAATAAGAATAAAACTATTTTTTTTCATTTTTTTTGTTTTTCAATCAGTGCAGTGCTTTTGCCTTCTTTGCCAAAAGACCTCCTCGTCCAATCCATTTATTTGGATAGTTCTCACGAACACTTCTTCGGTAAAATGAGCTGGACAGTCATCGTGTTGAAACCACATATTTCGTCTCAATTGATGAGGTAAGTTTCTCATTTAATGGGGTCCCATGACCAGCAAGGATTTGACTCAGATGGATTTGATATATGGGGTCATATGAGAAATTTGGTATACGAACTGTGTGAGAAATGTGTTATGAGCGGGCCAACCAACCTGACTACCAACAAACCCACGACAACAACTTAACCTACAATGATGTCCTATCCTTCCTCACCCAAGTCCGCCGCCCGCTCGCTGGTCGCTCACTGGGCCTCCCACATGGGTCTCACCCGGTGGGCTTGACCGCGCCGAGGGCGGCGCGTGAAGAGTGAGGAGGACGGACCCCGATGACCGCTCCGTCCCGACGACGGAGTGCGACACCGACACCACTGCAGTGGGCCAACCGGCCCAGACCAGTCTCCCCGCACGCCGCGGCGCCTTCGGCGCCGGCGACGCGCGAGACGAGGATAGCGTAAAGCCTCGACCTCTCTCACCCAGTACGCGCCGGCGTTCCGCAAGGCAGCTGCCTATCACCGGCGCTATACGCAGCTTTCACAGATGACATCCCAACGGTAGGCGACGTAAAGCTCGCCCTTTATGCGGACGATACCGCATGTTACACCGCCTCAATCCGCACGAATCAC